TATATGGAAAATGGTGTTTGGAAGAATAAAGTTCATTTACATATATTGGCATATACACTAATTATAAAAATTCCTCTTCTATTTAACTAGACTTGTGAAATGGAAGGTTAGCTATTAGCCCTTGCAGAATTCAAAATTGTGGAAGAGATGGTGCTTTAAAGAGTGGAACTTTGGAAATTGATAAAAGTCTGCTACTGAAGATGTTTATTTGAATGCATCTTGCATCACGATTAGTTTCTCGTTCTTAAAATAGCATACTGTATATAAGATTGCATTTCTGAAACTTTATTAAGATACTGACATTCTTTAATAGTAGCAATATAGGTTTCATGCTTGATCCAATTGTATACAGTTTTTTTTTTTTTTTTTTTTTGTCAGTCTTTTATTTATTTATTTATTTGTTTGTTTTGTTTATACAAGCACTGGGTACAGTCAGAAGCGCGGGAGGGTGAGAGAATCCACCAGAGCCAGAGCGGGGAGCAGAGCAGGCAGAAGGACCTAAGTACACTGCTGAGGGGAGCAGCGGGCGGCAGGAGAGGTCTGCGCGCCATGTGGGACCTCCTCCGGTGGCCGGGAAGCAGCCGGGGATCGAACTGGCGCCGCAGAGGCCGCGGGCAGCTTCGCAACCCAGCGCTCAACCGCTGCGCCACCGGGGAGGCCCTGTATACAGTTTTAAAATTCAGCAAGTTTGTCTATATATCTAAAAGAATTTAGATGACAATTGTATTGGTGAGTCTTGAGGTTCTTCAGTTATCAACTTGAAGGCTTCTGATACCTCAAAGTGATTTAATTTTTTATAATCAGAAAATTTATGGACTATTGTTTATAAATTAGCTGTTTTACCAGTAAAAATGAGAAATCTATAAAAGGTAATATTGATATCATCAAAACAAGTGTACCTTTCATAAGTAAATTTTAATCTGAATTGGAATACAGAAGTAGAAATCTAAGAATATGATTAAATTGTTTGCAGATATTTTATTTGCTTAAAGAAGTTGAGTCACAGGTAGGTCAGTGAGAACTTATGGGCAAAGCAAAGCATTGAAGACACAAGTTAGAGTTCAACATTGTGCCTCATAGTTCTTTTCAAGTATTACATTGTTTTAATGGAATCTTGAAAAGGGAGAGCTTTAGCCCATTGAAATGTCGCCTAAAGGATAGGTTCTGTCACTAGCTGAAGCTGGAAGAAATGATAACAATAGAGTGTCGTGATGCATTTTAAAAGTGTGAGAAATCAGTCTGTCTAGACTAAGAGTGTGCCTACAGGGACTAGGAATTTTAGAGCTTCTGTGCCCTTTAGGTGTCAAGTATGTGAGAGATGCCAAGCCTTTTTATTTTCAGTCTTTGGCAGCAGCTCAACTCGGCTGCAGTACCTTACATGTCTTCTGCAGGCAAAAACAAGGATTCTGTGCCAGAAAAATTTGGGCTTCAAAATTAAGAAACTCATTTGTTTTAATACCAGCTTTAAATCAGGGGAATATATCAATAAATAATTGTCATAATTTGCAGACATGGAAGCACTGGTAGTTAAGGAGCTTAGCAACATTTTGTAGCTACTTTTAAAAAAGGTTTTCTATCCTTAAAAATCATTCTATCCCTTTCTACCTTGATAGCACAAGTCAAGAAACACTATTTCCACTTTTAAAGGTTTATGGGTTTTTTTAATTACTTTGGCATGTATACATCATATTATAGAATTTTATGAAGAAAACTTAAGTCTGTTTCCTCTGATCTCATCTTCCTGAGGTAACTAGTGTTAAGAGTTTAATGTTCTTCCTTTCCTGTACACCTTAAAGAGTAGTCAACTTACAGCTATAGTTTTTATAAAAGCTCACAACAAAGGGGTTTGCTGTAGGATTTGGAAAAGCTGCCTCATCCCATAATTTTGTAACATACTTTATTGTTTGGTTATACCTTGCTTAGCTATAGCTGAGGAAACTTTTTTTTTTTTTTTTGAGTAAACTGTTCAGTATTACATACTTTTAAAGATTTATTTATGTATGCATACAAGAGCTAGGGTAGAGGCCAGAGGCAAGGGGGTTGAGAGGATTCACCAGAGACAGAGCAGGGAACAGAACAGGCAGATGGACCGCAGTACACTGCTGAAGTGAGCAGCGGGCGAGTCAGGAGAGGTCTGCTGCGCCTTGTGGGTTGCTTCCTGGCCGACCGGGGGATCGAACTCGTGCCTCGGAGGCTGCGGAGAGCTTCATAGGTTGCTTCTTAACCCTTCGCGCCACCAGGGAGGCCCCCAAAATCTTCCCATTTTAAAGGGATCAGTAAGTAAAGATACTAGAGAATTTCTAAAGCTATGTGTGTACATACACATATCCCAACATTATGTGAGCCAAAAAGTACAGAAATGCAATATATGGAATTCAGAGCGGTGGGTGGGATTTTTTTCCTTTTTTTTTTTTTTTCCCTTTTTCAAGAGGGCTCGACTCTCACTGCCCGGCAGATTGAGAGACTGCACACTGGTGGAAACAGACCAGGGGTTAGCTCTGAAGTTCTGTCTAGAACTATCTAATGCCATCCCCTGCACAGAGGATAATATGGGAACGTCCTTGCTAGTTCCCACCATATGGAAGCTGCTATATTCCGTTTTATCAGCACCAATATATGGAATACATCTGGATTAAATGTTAGCACAAAAAACAAAAATGAAGCTAGCACATGAGATTTTGGCTAGAGAGGGCACTTAAATGAGAATAAAGTATCAAGAAGTAAAAATTAAAAGATTCTAGTGCATTGTAAGCTGTAAAACATTGGTTTAAACCCAAACACTTGGTCCCTCTGTTAGGGGGAAAAGGGTGTCCTAAAGCTAATTCCATACAGGCTTTGTGGACTCCACCCCCACCCCAAGCCAAAGACACTGGGAACTCCAAATCCCATCACCACCAAAGGGAAGGTGGCTGGGACCTGAGGGTGGGGTTAAGCAGCCAGGTTGGTATAAGCCAGACACGTGGGCTTGGGGCGGGGGTCCCCCATTTTGGCTCTCCGCCAGCTCGCAGCGTCCGGCCAGCTCGGAGAGTACTTTTTGGGTTTCCAGGTCGGTGGATCGGGTAGGACGCATTAAAGACTTTATTTTCTCCCTGAGTTGTACATTTTCCTTGTAAATAAACCTTGTTAACCTTTTGTGTGTGCCTGTAATGTGGAGTATTAATAAGTCCCCGCAATATCGGGGCTGCCCTATAACACGTCTCCACCTTAGATGTGAGTTTCTTACTTCCACCTTGATGGGGCTTATGTTTTCAGTTCTTTCAACTAACATGTTTCCAACACATTTCTTAGACCTGGTTTCATAGGGTGGGGAGGGGGGAGGGGAGACGGGGGCAGGGGGCGCGGGTGGTGGCTGAGACACACACAGGAAGGGTGAACATTACTGAACTACACCACTAAGGGGAGCAGTGGGCAAGAGGAGAGGCCACTGCACCTTACGTGGGTTGGCTCCCTGGGCTGGGTATCGAACTCAGGCCGTAGCAGCAGCAGCAGCACTGAGCCTTAACCCGCTAGGCCACTAGGGAAGGCCCTATCTCACTACCTGGCTTCAAGGCTACTAGTACTTCTCTGGAGGGAGCGTGTCTGCTTTGGCAATGGTGAGGTGACGTAAACCCCTCATAAACTCGGCATCTGCAGGTGTATATAGCCCATGTCCTGAGAGGGCAGTGAGGGGTAAACAATGCGGTCTGGTATCTGCTCATTGGGAGCCTGCACTCAAGTGGGCCTCAAGTTTACAGTCAGTGTGGCCCATAACTGCTGCCAGCAGGTGCTAATATGCAGGGTGCCGACTAAGCGAGCACAGCCAGGAATGCCCGTACAGTCTTCCTTCTGTGGCAGGGCCTGGAGACGAGCGTGGACACGATTTAAAGATACATTGTGATATTTCTTTTTTCCCCAAAACACTTTTTGGTTGGTTTGGTCTGGGCCACACCTAATTATTGGTAGAGGTATAAAGATATTTATTGTGTTAAGCAGAGGATTAATTGCCAGCTACAATAATTTTACAGAATTGTGTTTTTTTAATCTGTAGGTAGAGTCAGAAATGAGCTTAGTGTTTTCCTTACACGTTCTTTGGTCCATGGCATTATAAATAACCACATTAACCTTCATTGGGATATATTAAAAATAAAATTGAAATTCACAAAATAGGTTATATTTTCTAGTTTCACAACTTGGATATAATCATTTTCATGTTAACCCTTTGTTGAACCATGACTTTAATATGATCTTGCTTTGGTAGAATATTTGACTCTCTTAAATGGAGATTAACTCTGAATTACTATTTTGTGTCCTAACTGCCACTGTCATTTGATGGCTATATCTAATCTGAGGCATCAAAATTGTATGCATTCACCACTTGAGCATTTGTTGCTAGATAGATCATAGTAAACTTAAGTTGCCATTGTTCTAAATTTCTGCAAAAACTGCAACTTTCTTGGCTCACTTTTGCAGAATAGATTTGATATATTATTGTTTTGTTTAGTAGGTTTCACCCAACAAGAGAGAAATCAAAATAGTAATTGAACTTAATTGATTTTAATTGTTTACAAAAAGGTTAGTCCTTCTTCTGAAGAGATGGCTTGATTGTGAGCAGTGTGAAATAGAAACCACACTGGTATTAATTTTTTTCCTGTTTAACATTTGTTTTTATCTCCCTTTTTAAAAGCCTTTTATAGTCTTTGTCTACTGACTAGTAACACCTGCTCATGAAATAAGTCTACTGACTACAGACTCCTCTACCAGAAAACTCTGAAGAACTTGCCAATGCTTTGTTGGATAAATGGGACCTAAAAATTTTTTTATGAACCCTTTTCCTCCCTAAGATCCACCACAATAGATCTTTCATAGATATCAAAATGGCAACTTATAGGGTAACGAAATAAGCCAGAAAACTAAAAACCCACTTACAAAATCTAAATAGCACAACATGAATATATGAAGCAATGAAAGTATACCAGGTTGGATGTGGGCTGTTACAAACATGCTTGCTTGTTTTCCTCTAGGATATTACTACTTTAACTGGTGTTCCAGAAGAACATATCAAAACTAGAAAGGTCAGGATCTTTGTTCCTGCTCGCAATAACATGCAGTCTGGAGTAAACAACACAAAGAAATGGAAGATGGAGTTTGATACCAGGGAGCGATGGGAAAATCCTTTGATGGGTTGGGCATCAACGTGAGTAGTTTAATTTGAATATTATTCTCAGCTCTCTATGAAAATTTTCCTTTTAAATATACTGACTTTTCAAATTCTTTCATTTACAGTATGCTATATGACCATATATTTTTTTAATATATTAACTTTTTTTTAAAGATTTATTATGTATACAAGCACTGGGTACAGTCAGAAGTGCGGGAGCGTGAGAGAATTCACCAGAGCGGGGAACAGAACAGGCAAAACGATGAAATACACTGCTGAGGGGAGCAGCGGGCGAGACAGGAGAGGTCTGTCGCGCCAAGTGAGACTCTCACTGGTGGCCGGGGATCAAACTGGCGCTGCAGAGGCTGCAGGCAGCTTCGTAACCCAGTGTTCAACGCTGTGCCACTAGGGAGGCCCTATATGACCATACTTTTTAAAACCATTTGTTTAGATGTCATTATTTAATGTTACACAATTTATTGGATAAAAATGACTGAATTGTGAGTACTATTGGCATAATGTGTATATTGGTTTAACTTAGTAACAGTTTTTTTTACTTGGGAGAAGAATAGGGGAGTTTAGAAATTAACTATTTCGAGGGGAATTTGCAAGTTCCTGAGATCTTGACATGATTAATAATTTTATAGTGCATTAGATTAAAGTGGTCATAAATTCTTGTGGCACCAATGAGATTTAATAAACTACATCTCTCTGACCAAGACACACTGCTACTGGAGAAAACAGCCAAAAAAGCTAGAAAAGTGTTGTTCTCAGTGGGACTCCAGATTATATGTCCAAGCTCCAGTTGAAAGTGGTTATCACTTTTTATGTCTCATTTAAGTATGGTATTTAGCATCTTTTCTGGTTGATGTACCTTGGGGAATTTGTTAAAAACATCTGTATTTTGCAATTTAAATGGAATTATATTTTATTTGGCAAGTGATATATTGGTGTTTGGTATCTTTGTTTCATATGCTATATGGAGTGCTAGAGACTAAAGAAATTTATAAAGAATTCTGTCTTCCTTTCCTCTTCTTTCTTCTAGACTCAATGTTGTAATGCAACATTCAGCAATAAATCATTGTTTGAATATTTGTGCTTTATATACTATAAAATGTTTCTGGATGAAACACTTTATATTTGAGTGAGTTCTTTAAATTTAACTTTAAATGCTTGTCCAAAGATTCACACATCATTATTAGCATTAAATAGCAAAGTTAATTTTTGAAATGCTTAGTATTTAATAGCCGACTGCTTTAAAAGCAAAACTGTATCTTACTATGGTACATGGAAATACTACTTAAATACTACATACTAATTAAAAGTTCTTTTCAAAAAGTATTTTTGAAAAAGACTTACTCTGCTTTGTCAGAATCTTATTTGAATCTTGTTTTTTTTTAATCTTCCAATAAGTAGTAACCACAAATGTGAAAAAACAGGACTTTTAATATTTGATATTTTACTAGAACAGAAAAGGGACTCTATTTGCCATACTTACTGGTATTAGAATCAGGGTTACATTTTTTCCCCACATTTAGCATTGTAATAGCACAAAAAGAACATGTAATATTGCTTACTAGATATTTTTACAAAGGATGTTTCATGGTGTAGCACAATCTGTCACCAATGTTGGACATTATTGTTAATGATAAAATAATTTTCCATGTCTGTCCATTGTATTGGTTTAGTGGTATTCATTAGTGTCTAGTAAGTAACTTAAAAGATATCATTGCAACTCTGAGCAAATGCAGTGTATTATTTTGCCAGGCTTGAGAAAAAAAAAACTATGCTACAGATTAGAAGTTATAGCTCTGTGAATTTTTACCATGTAAACACACCCATGTGACTAATGCCCAGAGAGAGAGAAACATAGAAGTCCCCATTTCATGTCCCTTTCCAGCTTCAGTCCTCCAAAAGTAACTACTATACTGTGTTCTAATAGCATAGATTAGTTTTGCCTAATTTCATACTTAAAAAGAATCATCCCTTATTTGCTCTTATGACTTTTTTTGCTCAACTTTATGTTGGTGAGAGTCATTCATTGCATTAAGGCAATGGGCGTTTAGGTAACTATCATACTAAAATGAAAATTCTTATACATTGTCTTTTGGTGAATGTAGGATTTCTTTTTAATTTGCTAATATCAGTTAATCAAACAAACTTTTTATTAAAAGAATAAGATGATTGAGACTTCTTAATCTATTCTTATTTAGTTAATGACCTTGGCAATGTGTAGTGAGTTTTGTTCAAGTAGACAGATCACCTTGAACTTGTAGAGGATGTAATTTGTGCTTGGTTAGGTCTGTTTCAATTTTACCCCTAGGCTTTGTTCTAGAACACAGTGTTAAATAAAAGGCATGGCCTTCCTAAGATTTTGATGGAAAGCACAGGGTGCTTACCAAGTCCTTCTGACTGAAACTCCAAACTCAATCTCACCTATAGCAGACAATAGCGGAAATCTCTATTCAGTTCCTTCAGTCTAACTATTGTTTTAGAACCTTGCCCATTTATATGGAGTTCAAAACTTCTATGCTCTTTGTATTCATTTCTCTTTTTCCCCTAAATTTTCAGCCTCTCTGGCAATTCTAAACTCTATCTTTAGAAGCCTTGAGCGGGTAAGACTCTGCTTGAGTTCTTAATGCGCCTACCTATCTGGACTAGACAGTACCTTTTAGGGGGAAAAATGTATAAACTGGATATAACCCAGTGTGGTCCCCTTATTTCAAAGGTTGAGTCCTCTCCAGTTTCTTTTCTGGTTTTGGTCACACTTCAGTCCTTTCAAACAGTTGTTTTAAGATTATTACATAATTGTTAAGCATGTAAGTCTGGTTTTAATGGCAGGTAAATCTGCCATTACCCAAATTGGAATGTCAGTAAGGGGGAATTCAGCAAATAAAGTCTTACAATATAAGCACAAATAATCAGTAAATATTGAAAAGAGATTATATATACTTGGAGGAGGTAGAATATGAAAGACTTCATGGAAACGATAGGTAGTCATGGGAATCTCCACATAATGAAATAGTAATCTCTCGCTGGATATCCAAGTGGACCAAAATGAGCTTGTGAGAAAGTAGAGGAATGCCTAACAATCTGATTTGACCAGTTGGCTACTTCTAAGGGGAGCAATTATAAAGACTGGAAAGTGGCTTCTGATCAAATTGTAGAAGTCTTTACATGCCAGGGTAGGAGACTGAAATTAATCTGGCAGACAGTAGAAATTAAAGTTTTTAAATTGGGCTGTGAGCTTGGGAATTGAACTTTTAGGAAGATTAATCTGGCAACACGATGAAGGGTGAATTGGAGTCAAAAAAAGATAACAGTACTATTAGGAAAGTAGTTTGGAAAGAATTTAAAATGGTATAAATTGATAGGGCAAAACGCTAGAAAAGAAATTTGCAAAATACAGGTGATAAAGTGGAAAAGGAAGAGGGTAGAAGCTGAGTGACTCAAGAATGGTGGCTTATTGTAACAAGTTGTTACTCTTTAACCCATGTATTTATTTCTTCATAAATAAAGGAAGATGATAATAAAGGCTGTACAACCTTTGCAGAGAATAGATCCCTGGTCTCCTGGATCCTGAGTTTTTTTCCCCACATTTTTTTTTTTTTTTCTGCATTATTTCTTCTCATCTAAGCTGTGTATGTCAGCACTAGTCAAATTACTAGTCATATTACTGGGTATTTATTTTGACACTTTTGTTCTCAGTATAGTTTATTTAGCTATCAACTGCTTTGAGAAAGAAGAACCAATATAAAATTAGCATTTGTTTTTAGTACTAATATAGCTTGCCATGTTGAAGCTTTCTTGCTTAAAATGGAGTTTATGGTAAGACTCCGTATCATTATAGGTATCCCAGGATAATAACCACAGTGTATGGCCAAAACTTTAGCAGCAAAAGTTTGTGGGTTTTCACTTCAATTGAATGCTTACTTTCGATGCATTCTCTTATTGGAAAGATACAAGATTTACACAATCTAAATTGCTTCCCAAACCTTTTATACATTTTTACTTCTTTGTTTTGAAACTGAGATTCATGATAAACATTGTTTTTTTTGTCATACTACTAAGTGACATTTCCAAAATTGTACGGTATTTTGCAAAAGTTTATATAAATTTGTAAGTATTACCACCATCCTAGATTGAGGAACTCAATTAGACGTCATAGCTAGGAGCTTTTTTTTTTTTTTTTTAAGTGTTCATATACTTATTATCACTAATAATGAAAGCTTCATTAAGAAGAGTGCGTATTGTTGCCATCTATTTTGGTTTTTATAATGATAATACTGACAGTTGCATTTATAAATTTATCAGGTCATTTTGAGAATCCTCTTGGATTTTTTATTAATGAAGTACCATTGTTTTATATCATTATTAATATTTGGACAATATAGGATTTCTCCTCTTAGCTGTGGTCATCATAGACCCCCCGCCCCCACTTAGGGTTTTTCATTCAACTCTTTCAAGTACTAAAAATTGCTGAATGTCTTTGTATGTTTTTAAATTTCATAATATATTTTTAGTAACTGTTGACTTTCCCCTCATCCAAAGCTTAATGTCTCTTACAGGGCTGATCCATTGTCTAACATGGTTCTAACCTTCAGTACTAAAGACGATGCGGTTGCCTTTGCAGAAAAAAACGGTATGTTTGAACTGGTTTTGCTTTGACAAAATTAAGAAGATAAAATCATATCTTCATCAGAGTCATTCTGGGATACAGAATTTGAGTTGGAAGAAATCTTTCCATGTATTTAATCTAGTGGTTTTAGATTATTTTTTAGAGCATCAGAACCACCAGCCTCTTCCAAAAAGAATCTGAAGTAGAGGCAAGGAATAAAAATACTTGTCTAACTCCTGCCTTGTTTATGAATCCCTCTTAAAAGCACTAATTGATTTTTTTACACTCTTAATTGAACCTATTCCAATTTTGACACCTTTTTCTTTCAACAAGACTTTTATATCTATTATTACAACTAATTGGCATCTCCCTCTAAAATTTCCTTTAAACCTAAATGCCTATATTTGTCACTTTTCTAGTTATAGTAGGCCTAGTAGATTAGTCTACATTATTGAATCTTGTTATAAACAGAAACGCAGACTATCTTTTTCCCCTTATTTTCTACTGTTAATCATGAAACACAGTGTAGAGAAAGGCGATTTTGGAGTCAAAAGAGTAGATTCTAATCATTACACCACTTTGAAGCTATAGGTTTTGGATTAGTTTCATAATGGGCATATGTTTCCTCATTGCTGAAGTAGGGTACTTCTCTCACGGTAAGTGTACCTAATACATAATTTGGTTAATTGTTCTGACCCTTATACCTATGTTTGTTTGGTATTTCTGTTTAAGATTTATAAATATACTATTGTGCATATTCCTAATACATTCTTTTATTCTAGTCTGTCAAATTTTAATCTAGTTATTACTATAAATGTAAAGTATTATTAGTGTTATCTACAATTTGACATATAAAAGTGAAAGCAATGGTTATTATTACCTAACATTCTTGTTTTCCACCCCAAATTAGTATTACATAGGTTAAAGCCAAACTACCTTGGTTTGAATCTTTGTTGGGTTTCTTGCTATATTGTACTTTGATTTTATCTGTAAGGATAAGAAAAGTGCTTAAAATATAGTAAATATATATATAAATTTATCCTAATAGTAGTAGGCTTTTAAAAACCTGAATTATTTTTTAAATTGTAAGTTCATTTCCTTATTAACATCTTAACAAATTTCAGATTTCTTAATTACATAATTGTTTTCAAAGTGGCCATAGTCTTTAAAATATTTCTTTGATTTAAAATGAACATTGCTCTCTTTTTCATGAAACTTTGATAAGCTATATTAAAAACAGTTCTATTAATGTTTTACATCTTTGCAGCCTACCATATTTCATGTCTGACACCTTGAAAATTATTCATTTGAGGTCTGTAACATAAGTTTAATAACAGGAAATCTAATTAAACTGTTAAATCTCTGGGTTGGGTTTCTCTAAGTGGTCACAAGAACTGCGTGACCACAGTTGCCATGTGAATTGCAGGTGTGATCTAGCCTTTGCTGCTTTGGAAATCAGGTACCTTCATAATTTGATTTCTGCCTTCCCAGGAAAGAAAATTGAATATTATCACAGTCAATAGACAGTATAACTTGAAAAAGCTTAGCGGATAATATCTTCTAAAACTGTAGGTTAACAGTGGATCAGGAATTTTAAACAAGGCAGCAAAAGAATCATCACTACTTTGTCCCTAGCATATGACACATAAATGGACATTGAGTATAAGAGTTTAAAGCCACTCTCAGCTGAGAAAGTTATCAGTGATTATTCCTTTAAACAGTTAGTTCTTTCTCTCCACCTATTGTGGCAGCAAATCTAAATACATACCATTGAAATGGTACAAATTCATTTCTGATTTGTTCATCTTGGGTAGGTTGATAGGTGTGAGGGAGAGAGGATTCATTTGTGTGCTTCCCACCACAAACATTTTGTTATAATTTAATGCTATTGAAGGTTGGGTTTTACCAATGTCCTTGTAAGTTAAGACATTAAAAAAAATGGTTCAGAAGCATCAATGTATAAAGACTATTGGATTAAGAGGTTGGTAACTAGGGTTTTTATTCCCTAATTATCTGCCTACGGGAGAGCTTGAGCAAGTCATGTTTCATTCATTATACTGTACGTTGTTAAACATGTTTCTTCATCTCAAAATCTGTGTACTTAAGTATGTTAAGCCCATGGACCAGCTCATATTTATCTGTTTCTTTGTTTAAGCCCAGTACATTATTAATTTTATGTTCTATAAAAGAAAGTAGTTTTGTTGATGTAGGATGATTATATTTTAATAATAAAATCTGGTTATTCATTTATAAGCATTCAGTGTTTACCTTCCAATAGTATCTAGAAACAGGAGGTTACAGTAAAACCGCTATAAGAAAAAGATAGTCTACTCAGAGACTCTTCTGAAATTGAACAACTTACCTTTCTTCTCCCCAGTTTTCTTGTCTCCCTTAATTTTAAATAGTATAAAGGAGGGCTTTCAGATGACATGATAGGAAGAACCTGAGCTCATTTCCTCCCACAGACACATTAATTCTACAACTACATGGAAAGTTTCCCTCTGAAAATTGGATAAAAGGGATGTAGGGCAATACTGAGAGGAAAGAGGCAAAGACAAATTCTCACTAAGAAAGAAAAACTCTATGCCAAGCACAACTAAAAAGAGGTGTAGAACTTTTCATGAGGTATGCTCTCTGTGCAGCACCAAACCATTTGGATCCTGTACATTGGACACAGTCCCTAAAACATCTGGCATTCTAGGCCAGTGTGGACCATGTTCAGGAACACCAAACAAATATGGAGAATGGAGAACCCACCCATAAAGGGCCCATGTACAGACATATATGCCCTGGGACTCAGCTCAATAACATCTGGGTTAGGTCAACAGCCTCTCACTGTAGCTTAGCTAACCAAGTGTACACTCCTGTAATCTCACATGGCAGGTGGGCACAGTCCAGAGCATGATGCCCCTTGAGCACCTAGCTCTGGTGGCTAGTACTTAACACAGAGAATTTGGCAAAATAAGGAGAAAGAATTATATTGCAAATGAAATAACAAAATTACTGAAAAAAGACCTTAAAGAAATGAAGATAAGCAAATTTCCTGAAAAAGAGTTATAGCAATGCTTACCAAACACAGAAGAAAGGATGGACACTGTGAGAACTGAACTCAGAAATAGAAAATTTAAGAAAGGACCCGAAATTAGAGCTGGAGAATATAGTAATAGCTGAAAATTACACACAAAGTGATTCAGCAGCACACTAAATGAAGTAGAAGAGTGGATAAGTGAGCTAGAGGACAAAGAAGTAGATCTCACTCAGATAAGACAAAACAGCAGAATGAAAAGAATTTAAAAAGGCAAAGATCCTTAAGAACCCATGGAACAACAGAAGAAAAATACATGTGTTACAGGGATCAAAGAGGAGAGAGAAAGGACCAAACATTTATTTGAAAAATAATAACTGAAAACTTTGTTAATTGGGGGAAGGAACTAGACATTCACATCCAGAAAGATACAAGTAAGATGAATACAAAGACAGCCACAGTAAGATACATTGTAATTAAAACATTTTACAAGTAGAAAAAGAACAAGTTGCAATATACAAGGGAAACCTTGCAAGGCTGTCAGATTTTTTCAACAGAAAATTTGCAGCCCAGAGAAGAATGCCATGGCATATTCAAAATGTTGAAAGGAAAAAAAAAAAGTCCAAACAGGAATTCTCTAGATGCAAAGAAAGGTGTTGCAGAATTGGAGGAGAGATTAAGAGTTCTCAGATAAGCCAAAGAAGTTCATAACCAGTAAATTGACCTAGGAAATAATGTTTAAAGCACTTGTGGAGTGTTTTTAAAGGCACTTTCTTTTCAAAACCAAAAAGAAATAGTACTAATTAATTTTATACACACACACACATTCTCTCTCTCTCTATATATATATATTATAATAAGGAGTACTAAATCAAGTACAAATATTAAAAGACAGAGGTGATAGATTTACCTGAAACTATAATAATTACTCAGGGGATGCATAACATAACTGGGAGGAGTAAAACTGAAGTTTTAGAATTGGTTCAAATTTAGATAGCTGTCAACTCAAAATAGAACATTAGATGTTATCTGAATCTAACAATATGACAATAAATATGTTTCTCTGACTATCACTTTAAATGTAAATGAACTCAATTCTCCAGAAGACAGTTACTGAATGAGTTAAAAATAAAAACAGAACAGGTCTCATCTACACACTGCATCTGTAGGAACACACACTCTGAAAGTGAAGGGACGGAGAAGTTTATGCAGATGGAGGTGAAAAACAGCTAGTATAGCTATACTCATATAAAATAGGCTTTGAAACAGAAAACTAGCAAAAGACAAGGATTGATGTTATTTAGTGATAAAAGTATCAGTTCTATATCACATTAATATATGAGCACCCACCATAGGAGCACCATTAACAGACTGACAGAAATCAAAATCAGCACAATGGTAGTAGACATTAGTACCCCATTTATATCAATGGACAGATCATCCAGACCAAGATCAACAAGGAAACATTGGCCTTAAATGACATTTTAGATGAACTTAATAGTAGGTAGATTCGGAACATCCCACTGATAAGCAGCAGAATACACGTTCTTCTAAAGTGCATGTGACACATTCTCAGACAGATCATATGTTGGGCCACAAAATAAATCCCAATGAATTTAAAAAGACTGAAATCATACCAAGCATCTTATCTGATCATGAGCTATGAAACTAAATCCCTAGAAAAAAAAACCTGTAAAGATCATAGGTATGTAGAGGTCAAAGAACATGTTTACGAGAAGTTGTTGATTCAATGAAGAAACTTAAGGAAAAATTAAAAAGTACCTGAAGAAAAATGAAAATACAAGATACCATAATCCTATGGGTTTCAGCAAATGGTTCTAACAAGGAAGTTCATAGCCATACAGGCCTACCTCAAGAAACATCTCAAATATACAATTTAACTTTACACCTCAAAGAACTAGAAAAATAATTTAAACCCAAATTAGTAAATGGAAGGAAAAAATAAAAATCTGGGTGGAAATAAATGAAACCCAAACTA